TATTTTACAAACCTTGTCTTTTATTAAAAAAAAATAGTAGAACTTAATGCCATGCAGATTATTATAAACTGCTATGTTGCATAATATATTCCAAGTAATTTCATTTTCAGTCATGGATTAGGACTGTTCGTTCTTTTGGAAATTGAAAATAAATCTCAATATGAAGCTGCAAACCATTCTGAGGAAAACAAATATAAAAATAAGGTGAACTTTCATGCCCTTTTCAAGTCTGAAGTGCTATGAAGACACTATGATTAGGAAATGCATATTTTGATGACCAAAATGCTTGCAATGCATTTAAAACTATTAAAAATTTCTAAACTGTCTAATCATGAATCTAATACATTTTCAGTTTTGTTTGATTTGACCTCAGAATCCTTCACATCTGTCTTTTGGTTTCTATGCCCCTTTCCATGCCTGTCTATCATTCCTAGGCTTCTGAACTGATGCTAATCAAACTCCCTTATTAGGTATTGATTTTTAACTTGCAATCCAGATATAGGTATATAGATTTATTTATCAATTATATAAATACACCACTGTATTAATATTTATACTTGTAAAATTACACAATTATAAATGGAAAAAGTTTAATAGTAAATGTAAATACAAATGGAAGTTCAATTATTTTTCTTTTTCTTGCCCCTTCAGTGGCTGGCCTTATATAACACTTGGGTTATATTCCCCACTCTGAGAACTGGCCCAGCCTATAGTAGTAACTTGCAAACTTTTCTCTTGCCCTCTTTTTCACCCTTTTTCTGTCTGTGATGGTTTGGCTCTGTGTTCCAATCCAAATCTCATGTTGAATTATAATCCCCAACATTGGGAGAGAAACCTGGTGGGAGGTGATTAGATCATGGGGATGGAATTCCCCCCTTGATGTTATTGCACAAGATCTGGTTGTTTGAAAGTGTGTAGCACTTCCTTCACTTTCTCTCTTTCTCCTGCTCCTGCCATATACAACGTATTTGCTTCCTATTTGCCTTCTGCCATAATTGTAAGTTTCCTGGGGCCTCTCCAGGAAGGCTATACAGCTGAGCATCCTGTATAGCCTTCCAAACCTTGAGTCAATATAATCTGTTTTCTTCACAAATTACACAGTCCCAGGTAGTTCTTTATAATAATGCAAGAATGGACTAATACTGAAAATTGGTAACAGAGAAGTGGGGCGTTGCTGTAAAGATAACTGAAAATGTGGAAGCAACTCTGGAACTGGGTAACAGGCAGAGGTTTGAACTGTTTGGAGGGCTCAGAAGAAGACAGGAAGATGAGGGAAAGTGGGACTTCCTAAAGGCTTGTAAAATGGTGGTTACCAAAATGTCCGTGGTGATATAGATAGTGAAGTCCAGGCTGAGGTGATTTCAGATGGAAATGAAGAACTTAATTGGAACTGGAGTAAAGGTCACTCTTGCTGTACTTTAGCAGAGAGGCTGGCAGCATTGTGCCCCTTTTCTAAGGATCTGTGGAGCTTTGAATTTGAGAGATGATTTTGGATATCTGGCCGAAGAAATTTCTAAGCAGCCAAGCATTCAAGGTGTGGCCTGGCTGCTTCTAACCGCGTGTGCTCTTATGTGTGAACAAAGAGATTATCTGAAACTGAAACTTTTATTTAAAAGGAAAGCAGAACACAAACGTTTAGAAAATTCACAGCCCACCCATATGGTAGAAAAGAAAAACCCATTTTCTGATGGATTCAATTGCAGGAGTTTGCGTATGTACAGAGGAGCCAAAGGTAAATAGGCAACACAATGGGGAGAATGCCTCCAGGGCATTTCAGAGACCTTTGTGGCAGACCCTCCCATCATAGGCCTGGAGGCCTAGGAGGGAAAAATTGTTTTATGGACCAGGCCTAGCACCCTGCTACTCTGTGCAGCCTCCAGTACATGGAGCCCTGCATCACAGCCACAGTCACTACAGCTCCAGCCATGGCTAAAAGGGACCAAGGTTCAGCTCTAGTTGTTGCTTCAGAGGGTGCAAGTCATAAGCCTTGGCAAGTTCCACATGGTGTTGAGCCTGCAGGTGTGCAGAAGGCAAGACTTGAAGCTGGACGCTTCTGCCTAGATTTCAGAGGATAAATGGAAATGCCTGGACGTCCAGTCAGAAGTCTGCTGCAGGAGTAGAATCCTCATGGAGAACCTCTACTGGGGCAGTGTAGAGAGAAAATGTGTGGTTGGAGCCTCCACATAGAGTCCCTACTGGGGCACTGCCTGCTGGAATTGTGAGAAGAGGGCCATCATCCTCCAGACCCCAGAATGGTAGATCCACTGACAGCTTTCACTGTGGACCTGGAAAAGCCACAGGTTCTCAATGCCAGCCTATGAAAGCAGCCACAGGGACTGGACCCTGCAGAATCACAGGGCTGAAGCTGTCTAAGGCCTTGGGAGGCCACCCCTCACATCACTGTGGCTTGGATATCAGATATGCATTCAAAAAAGATTATTTGAGAGCTTTAAGATTTAATGACTGCCCTGCTGGAGTTCAAGCATCCATGGGACCTGTAGCTCTTTCTTTGGGCCAATTTCTCCCTTTTGAAACAGGAGTATTTAGCCAATGCCTGTACCCCCATTGTATCTTGGAAGTAACTAATTTGTTTTTGATTTTATAGGCTCAGTGGTGGAAGGGACTTGCCTTGTCTAAGTTGAGACTTTGGACTTGGACTTTTGAGTTAACGCTGAAATGAGTTAAGACTTGGGGGACTGTTAGAAGGGCTGATCATATTTTGCAAGATGAGAAGGACATGAGATTTGGGGAGGTAGGGGAGGAATGATATGGTTTGGCTTTGTGTCTCCCCCAGATCTCATGTTGAATTTCTAATCCCCAGTGTTGTGGAGGAACCTGGTGGGACATGATTGGATCATGGGGGCAGATTTACCTCTTGCTGTTCTTGTGATAGTGATGAGATCTCACAATATCTGGTTTTTTGAGAATGTGTAGCACTTCCCCATTCACTCTCTCTTTCCTCCTCCTGCTCCCACCATGTAAGAGGTGTTTGTTTCCCCTTTGCCTTCTGCCATGATTGTTAAGTTTCCTGAGTCCTCCTCAGCCATGCTTCCTGTACAGTCTGTGGAATCATGAACTAATTAAACCTCTTTTCTTTATAAATTACCAGTCTCAGATAGTTTTTTTTTTATAGCAATGTAAGAACAGACTAAAACATTGTGCAACCTCAACCCATCTGTCAGTGGCCTGTTTAAAGTGCAAATATGGCCATGTTATTAACCTTCTAAAAAATATTCTATAATTCCTAATTGACAGAAAGGTAAAGTAGAAACTGCTTAGATGATCATATGAGGCCTTTCATTGTGTAGTTCCATTTTCTCCTTATTGATCTATGTTCTAACCAAAAAAAGCTACTCAGTTTTCTGAAACTGAATGACATGCTCTTCATATTTTTATTTTATTTTATTTTTATTATAAACAGTGTTTCTTTTAACCAGATGTTCTTCCTTTGGCTGCCTCCTCTACTCCTATTTAGAGATTTAGCTCAACAATTTAACTTTTGAGATTTAGCTTCACAATTTTATCTTCTATGATATATTTCCTGACACCTTTTGCCAATTCTCTATTTCCCTGGTAACAGCTATATTATTGCATTTGAATTATTTATGTACTGTATGAGTCTACCTCTTAGCTGAGATTCTAGATACAAGCAATCTGACAGATTGATCTCTGTAGTTATTGCAACCTCATACATCTATGGCACTTAGAATAATGCCTGGCACATAGCAATAAATGTTTGTGGAATGAGTGAATGAATGAATAGGAGCCCACACCAAAATTACTGGAGAAGACTTAACATATTCCACCTGGTGGCAAATATTACTTCACAAAAAGATTCATTTAGTTATGAAGATATAATTTATCTAAGATCAAATATTTTGTGTCTAGAATGCAATATTTAGTTTAAAATAACTTTTAAAAATGACTGACAGAGCTGGTAAAAGTACTCAATACTTGGAATGTTCATACCAATGTGTCTTCTGGCTACTGGACAACTGGATTAGGAAGAATATCTACATTGAGCATTGACATGTGACAACTGTATAAAGCCAAGATTTCCAGTTAACTACTAATGTTTGCAGTTGCTCTTTAATAGCCTTCAGCATCTTGACAAGGTTGAGTTCTATTTTATTTAAATTTTTTAAAAATTATGAATTACTCTTCAATTTTTTAAAAAAATTCCCATTTAGAATTTGCTAATATGATCATTTTTCTCCTTTAAGTGTTAGTGTAAGTTATATTGATTTATTACCTGATATTGAACCACCTGCCTTCCCATACCATACCTTTTTTGGTAAAGGACATTATTCTTCTCATAGTCATGTATTATACTGCTAACATTTCATCTTAATGTTTTGCACTTGCCTTCATAAGAATAATAGGTTTATATAGTTTACAACTAATGTAATTTTTCATTTTGTTTTAGAAATCATATGAAATAAGCATTGACTCAAACTTACTTCAAAGATTGAGTTTAGGATGGAAATTCTAGCAATTCTATCAAGTCAGGACTCATGATAGCTCATTCATCAAGTGCTTACTTTGTGCCAATTACAGTTTTAAGGGTTTTCTGTATTAATTCATTTAAACCCTACAGCATCCCATGAACCAGAAATTATTATTATCCCCATCTTAGGTCAGATGAATTGAAACACAGAGATGTAAAGTACCCAGGGTCACATAGAAGGTAAATTGCAGAGTCAGGATTTGAACTAAGGCATTCTGGCTCCAGATCCTATATTCTTTACCAAAATACATTAATTTTCCCATCATGTTGCAGAGAGAAACACAAATCTCAGGATTTATTATTATTTGACTAAAGAATCTGACATGATCATTGTTAATTGACCTATGACTATTTAAATAATAAGAATTTATAAGAGAAATGCCCTAACTACATACCATCAATTAACAATATAGACTGGAGACTATGTAACTATTTTAAAACTTAGTTAAAAATATTACCAAAGTAATAACACTTTTTTTTTTTATCTTTTCAGCAATCTTGACACAGAAGAGCTATGTGGTAAGTTACTTTAACATCAAACACATTACTTGTTTAAGAAGGAAAAAGAGCAATGTCTAATATATATCAACCTTGGACTTAATGTTGTAGATTAGGAGTTAAAAAATAAAATATAAATTGAGATCTCAAGGGATTTATCTTTTTCCATGAATATTGTTCAGTCATGTATTTCACTCCAGAAAGAGTCGGGCCTCATTAGCTTGTTCACAGAAAAAGAATTGTTATTACAATCAGTACATTAGTTTTATAAAAGCAAATTCTCCACAAGTTTCAATATATTTTTAAATTGGTGTTTAATACAACTTCATTATTCTCTGCACAATATATTTTGAAGAGCCTTTTGTTACTATTTTATAAAGCTGTCTTCTTGAAATGTAAAAATAACTTTGTCTCATACCTGCCTAAACCATTCTGGAGCTTTAAATGTCATTTCAAAGTAAGTGATTCAATGGGGAGAGATAAATCTTTACAATTACCTGGTTTAACAACCTCTTCATTTATTTTTTTCATCTTTATGATTGGAAACAAGGTAATGATTAGAAATACGTAAAGCTAAAATTTTTGAATTTTATTATTTTATGGAAAAAATGAAACATGAAACTATTCAGTTTGAAACAGCTGCATCTCTCTGAATACTGGAAGGTTTTATGTTTTAAGGTAAATGTTTAAGATAATACCTTTGTCCAAGTTTGATCTGATTGTCTATGCTGCTCAAAACATTTTTAATAGTTAGAGTTGAGTTTTCTCTGGGAACTCCTCATTGAAACTAGCAGCACTTCCTGAACATCTTATAATCCTTATAGTTTTAGAGTTTGCCAAAACTCAAAACATCAAAAGGGCCATTTTCTTATATTCAAGAGTGGTTATTTCCATTTCCTCAAAGTGGTAGAGCAATAACAAAAGATGTTATACAAGAACAAAATATCAGAATGCATGATTTCAGAGGCAATAGCTGAATAAAATGAATGTAATCTCCAACCACGAGCTTTCAAATTTTCCAGTGATTGTAAAAAACTCCTGCTTCCTATCCTGGCGTAATGTCCATCTCAGGTTCAGGGAGGAAAACCCAACTGAAATTCAAGATATGTTTATGGAGGAACGAGGTACTCTGATACCAAAGCAGGTCATGTTTTTGTTAGTTATGAAATGCCAGCAGGGAAAATCCCGCCATTCTTTCAGACACAGTCAGATGGTAGCATTGTGTACACATGGTTAAGCATCTGAAAGGGCCCATGCAGGCCATTGCCATGAAGTTTATGATGAATAGCAGTCAACATAAAGTCCACTCTCAGCTATGTGCACACAGTCCTGGTCAATGAAGTGAAAAGATAAAATGAAGAGCACAAGATTATCTTGATAATTTCATTAACGTGGCAGACCCATTTCTAAAATGTCTAGATATGTCAGGCCAAAGTAATTTCCTCAAATCATTCATTTGTAACTATTTTTTGTTTTTCACTTAGCTTTGCCTGGGTAGGCCACAGCTGATGAGAAAGCAAACTATTACAAGGACTTTTAAGATAATAACACTAAATGGTACTTCTTTACATGCTATGTTGCCTGCCTATCATCATTAAGGAATATTGTGTTATCCTCTATTTTCCCCTAAAAGTACTTCAAATTTTTAAATATCATGGAAATCTCCACTTACTCCTCTACTGAAAAAATATATTTTAAAAATATGCCTTTATTCTATAATAAGGGAACTAGATTAGGTGCCTATACTGTATTTATTAAAAAAGCTTTATGATTTCCCCTGGACAGTTTTAGTTAGGGAGCTGGAATGTGGGGCTTTAATCCAACAGGAATTGTTCTGTGTTTTTAAATCCAGTGATTGTATTCACAGTCACGTGTTATAATCCTCCCCCTCTCTGTTCAAGAATATGCATTTTAATCTCCAGAGTGTCATTTCATTTCTCATTATTTTGTGAATATAAAGTAAATATTTAAGTTGGATTCTAATCAATGCCAAATGCTTCAGTGCTAGCAAGTGAAATATGTCAATTCATACCCGGCACAAATTCCCCCTTGTGCGTGGGAGGGACAGAACTTGATTGGCATGAAAAGTAGATTTCATATGTTCTTTCTTAGAAGCCAATTACAAGTTGCAGGTACCTAAAACTTTTATTCTGAGGCTTTTACTTAATTTGTCAGTTACTAAGTTAAGGACCTAGAATTTAGAATCTATTAAAATATTTATTTTGAAAAAATTTCTTTGTAATTTTAATTATGAAAGTAATACTTAACTGCTATTTTTTAAATTTAACAGTGTTATGTAGGTGTATAACCTAATTTGTCAATCTTCTCTGTCACTCATTGTCATCTCCAGTACCAAGTTCTACTATTTACTTGGAACATATTCTTCCAGACATTATTATGTGTATACTGACACTGATATATATGCATATGTATATCATACTATATGATTGATATATATGCATATGCATTTTATACTATATGATTAGTGCAATTGCATCCCCTTCTACTTCATTTTATTTAAAGGCTGCATAGTGTCCACTGCACATTAATTTTTTCAACCAAGTTCCTTTTAATGGATTTTCACTTTGAATCCAACTTTCCATGGGAAAAACAGCATTGAAGTAACTATTCTCATATACATTATCTTCACACTCATGTGCAAGTAATTCTATATGGTAGATTCCCAAACATGCAATTCCTCAATCGAGGTTTCTCTAAGGTGCACACCCACCAGCAATTTACAGAGGTGCCAAAATTATCCACTCTTCACATACAATTGTGAAGGACTTCCTAAAGGCTTTTTTTTTTTTTTTTTTTTTTGGCTGTATCTTATCACTATCAGTCAATACAAAACTCAATTTTAATTAGGGAATTGTGTTTGAACTCTAGCACTGAAGCTTTGGTTTGTATTTCTACCATTATTAGCTCCAATCTAAAGCATTCAGGAGTATAATTACTACTTTTCCTGGCCCTACCCTGTTTATGACTGTTTTCATAACCCTACTCATTTTTATGCAGATCTTGAACTTGGTAGTTAAGAGTAGGTAGTTGAAATATTTATAGATGGGTAAAGGATAATTGCAACGAATGTGCTTGATCTGAAAGCATATCTGTAAGAAAGCTTCGTTAGCAAGGTTAAATATATTTAATAGTGTAATTTCTCATCTAGTTGGTTGTTATCTACCAAATATTAAACTATTTTAAAAGTTAGATGAAGTCTATAAATAAGATGGATAAATCCTTAGGGTACAGGAAACTTCAAAATAAAAACTTATTCCCTTCATACCAAGGCTCTTTTCAGTAGCTGTGCAGGAAGCACCAGGCTGCACTGGCGGAGCCCAGACAGTGCTGAGAGACCTGTGCCTGCAAGTCTGGGTGCTAGAAAATCAGAAGGCTCTATGCCCTCCTCCAGACTAATGTGTTCTTCTCCAGCGGCACATGTCACTGGCGATTGAGATGTAAGAGTTTGAGTGTCGCTTATCTGCATCCCCTCAAAATACCCCACATTTCTACATCTGACTTATCTCCCTATTCACAGCATGTGGGTTTTGACACTCTCTCAATTATTTTCTTTTCTACCTAGTCTACTACTTGAGAAATTCTAACTGCTTGAGAAGTTTAGATGAAACTCATCTAAACTCTTGAGAATACTTTGTGAGACCAATTTCTACTGAGACTTTTGTGACAGCTGTGGGTCCTTTGGTTCTGACAGAATTATTAAGCTGACCAGAAAACTCAACAACTTTAAAAACTAAGATACAGGATAGAAAAAACAAAACAAAACTGTAGTTTGGTAATGGAACATCACTGTTTAAATACAAAAAGGAAGGGAGAAACTAATTTGTTGTTAGCATTTTGTTAGAGAAGATGGCACATTGTATATTCGTGAGAATACAGCCTGCTTTCTGACAGATAACTTACTACATCTCCTTATAAATTGTGCTCTACTTTTTCATCATACCTAATGCTCAGACTTTACTTTTTAATGATACTTCACTTAAACTGATGAGGGTTGGTTTTCACATATTTCCATAAGTACAATATAACTATTTTGCTCAAGTTCATGAAGCCCACATGCAAGTTTCAACAAAATAGGTCTTTTTTCCAGGAAGTTATTCCAGTTATCAAAGGACAAGCATTTTAAGGAATCAATATCTGTTCCAAATCATTCTTTCTCTCTAATGTCATGACTTAATGACAATATACATTTGCCCCTTTCACACTGGCAATGTGATTCAAATGAGAAACATGAGTCACAAACATGAGAAACTTGTTATAAAACTTTGGTCCACGCACAGCCACTTTCAAAGCCATCACTGTCCTTCTCTCCTGCCTGCCACATGTTGGAGTTTGCAGATCTGCTGAAATTCTGGACTCCACCCCTCATTGCACTTCACAGCTTTCATATGGCTTATAGTCCTAGTTCTCTGATGAAATCACTCCTGTCAATTGATGTCTCCTTTCTCTTTGACGGTGTCACCAACATTCCCCCAAATCATCCCTTATGTATCCTTTCCTTTTCTAATAGGAAAATCTGAGGATGTCACTCTCCTTTTTAAAATTGTTCCATAGCTTCCCATTTTCCATAGCGGTATCGAATGTACTCTGAATCATAATCTCCTAGGGAGTGTAGGTCTCAACCCAAAGATTCTGATTTACTAGATGAGACCTTCTTAATCATCTTCATGTCTAATAAGTCCCTAGAGTAGTACTTCTCAAACTTAAATGTGCCTAAAAATCACCTGGGGGTCTTATTAAAATGCAGACTGTGATTCAACAGGCCTGGAAGTGGGCCTGAGATAAGTTCTAACAAGCTCTGAGGTGAAACTGATGCTGCTGGTCCACAAACCAAACTCTGAACAGTGAGGTACTAGAGGATTCTGATGCAGGTGGTCAAAAACACTGACCTAGACTTGAGGATGAAAGAGCATCTGGCAAGGAATGTTTCCAAAACATATGCTTTGACTCCCATCACTGACTTTTAGCATTTGTTTCCTTGCTGCCTCCCATTCTCAAATATGTTCCAGCTCTGTTCTTTATCTCTTAGCAGTGCTGAACTACACATATTCCTGCAAACGGGACAGGAGAGCAGCTGCTTCCATGCCTTTCCTCTGAGAATCCAGCAGGTTAAGTCCTATTCATCTGTTAACTAAACCATTGGTGGTATTTCCCCTATGAAGCCCTCTCTGACTTACCTGAGCAGACTTGGGAATTCTTTTTTTTTTTTCTTTATCTTTTTTGTTGTTGTTGTTGAGACAAGACCTCACTCTGTCACCCAGGCTGGAGTGCAATGTCACTATAATCTCGGCTCACTGCAATCTCGGTCTCCTGGGTTCAAGCAATTCTTCTGCCTTACCCTCTATTTGGATTGCACCTGATATCTGGGCTCTTGAACCACTGTCTTTAACACTGATTATGTGTATTGCAGTTGTTTGTTGGAATGTTTCTGTCTCCTACCTGACTGTAGCGCTTCTGCCTTTTCACCTTTGTATTCCAAGCTCCTATACGATAGCACCTAGCACATAAAAGGCACTAAGTAAAGGGATGTTAGGCCACAGAACGAGTAAGTGAACACTCACTATGATGAAGTGGAGGGGAGTTATCTCTCTTTATCTATGTTGGATGTGTCTGACTCTTTCATCTAATTTCCCTCTTTGAGTTTATTGGAGCCCCTTGCCTTGACGGTCTGACCCATATTCCACAGTGAGTAAGTTATAAAAGAGCCTTAGTGACAATGAGCTGCACCACCTCAAAATAACCCTTACACTTAGATTTCAAACTTAAGCTCTTATCCAGGACTTGAGTATTGTAATTATCTTCCTTCTCAGTCATTTTCTTTACTATCTACTGATCGTTCTTTCTTTCTAACTTGGAGAGTTGAAATGAGCAAATGGACGAATGAAGGAAAGAAAGAATGAAATCTAGTAGGTGTCAGCTCTGAAGCTTCTAGTAATTGTTTTTCTCATGTGCTTTATCAGCATGTGCCTGCATCTGCGTGTATAGGTCTGATTTCAAAGTGGAAAGACAACTTAAATTCTCTCCAGGAACCTGTGCTGATTAAGCCAAATATCTTATCTATGAATGAAATATTTCTTTTAAAACATGGCTTTGTCTCTCTCTCTCTCCCCTTATATATATATATATATAATCTCACTGAGGCTGGAGTGAAGTGGTGCTATCACAGCTGACTGCAGCCTCAACTTCCCAGGCTCAAGCAATCCTCCCACTGCAGCCTCCCAAGTAGCTGGGACTAGAGGCACATACCACCATGCCTGGCTAATTTTTAAATTTTTTTGTAGAGGTGGAGTCTTGCTGTGTGGCCAAGCTGCTCTCAAACTCCTGGGTTTAAGTGATCCTCCTGCCTTAGCTTCCCAAAATACTGAGATTATAGGCACGAGCCTCCATGCCTAGCCTGTTTTCACTTTATATTTTTGTCTACTTGCATTTCAAACCCCATCACAATCCTCTTTGAGGCATTATATATACAAGTTTTAAACTGAAAATGAAGTAACAGCTTCATTTATTGGCATTTTTCTTACACTTTTGCTTGTTTTCAACATAGCATGGACTCAGTTCTGATATTCATTATTTTCCCAACTTAGGAATATTCTGCAGCACATCAGTTGCTCACTGGTTGATGAAGAGTGTTCATTTGTTATAAATAATTGCACAGGGACTTCATTTATTGTAAATAATTACACAAATAAAGTTAGACGTATTTGTCAACCTTATCAGAAAGTCAACATTATAACCACAAATTAAAATGTTTTGAAGCAGGCATTTAAGGAGTAAATGCTTTCTTACTTATCTTCCAATTAATCACTTTCTAAAGAATCCTTATAAGAGATAATTTACGCCACTTTGTTTTTAAGGAGTGCATTTTGCTGTGTCAAAAAATATGTCATTTGTTCTTAAACTATGTGTATACAGACTGTATTTTGACAACCATGATCTGGAGTTGATTTAGTGTTTACCTGTGTTTCTTTTCTTCTCTAAAGAAGTCTCTACATTAACTATTTTATCTGTCAATGGCACTTTCCAGTTGTTATTAACATCAGTATCAACAAATAGTTCCTGGAGTATTAAATAAATTAATCAACGCAGTTTCCATCAAACATGCTGAAATGTATTCCTGTAATCTCAAGTGGCTTATATGTGATTATATATTATTTCAATTTAGTTCCACAAATACTGAGGCACATTAGAGATAGACAGAAATAAACTACAGTTTATCCAAGGAAGAGTTCACAGGAATGGTGAGGACTATTCATTTTTTAGTGTCTGAAAACCCTAGATCTTTTCAATATATAAATTTGTGTTACACTAGTTTGCTTTCATTATAGAAATGTATAGGTTTCCCTAAGTAAATATAAGATTTTGCATTTATATACATTTCAAATTACTAGTTTAGGATCAGTTCATGTTCCATACTTTTAATTTCAATCATAAATCCACCATATTATTTATTCCTAACAACTGAAAAAAGTGATAGCCTTTACTTTTTCTCTGCCTAAATTGTTGAAAAAAAACAAAAAGATTATGACAGGGACAGTGACATGGAAGGTGCCACAGAAGACCATCTCATGTTTTGCAGCACTGACTCTTAACCTTGAAGAGAGCTTACCTTCCTTAATGTTTCCTCCAAAAACAATAAAATGTAACTTAACTCTTTGCTAAAATTACTATCCTAGTGAGATCTATATTCTTATGTTGCTTCAAAAACAATTTATTTTTATTGAAACACCCTTGTCAGTAGATCCAGATTCATTTTTTCCTACAGTTGTAGGAAGGAACATTTCTTCAAGGATAATAGTAATTATTCAGGTTTTCTTTTATTTTTTCTTGATGTTTTAGTGAAATGAGCAGATTGTCACCTTATTTAGTCTTATTTGGAAACCTTCCAGTTTTCATTTATAGCTGGCATTTTGTTTTACTCATTTAAGGAATAAATAATTAGTTGATTATTTTTTGTTTTATGATTATCTAAACTCAAATATGAACTTATTTCAATATTTTCACTTTTCAGAATATTTTTCTCAGCACCTGGGCGAGTATGAGAATGTACTGGCAGCACTTGAAGACCTAAATCTTTCCATCCTGAAGGCAATGAGCAAAACAAAGAAGGTAAGAAAATGTTAATCATACCTGTTTTCAAGGCATAGATTTTTTATTCCACTGATAGTTTTTTCTTCATATTAAATGAGCTATGTTATTTATTCATAACATAATTATAAACACTATATGCCAAAGACTGTGCTTTGTGTTGAGGATACAAAGATACACAGAGCTGTTCAAATAGCTCCCAGCCTGGTGGGGATATGAGTGTGTAAACTAAGTGATATGTTTTGGATCTTGTCCCTCCCCAAATCCCATGTAGAATTGTAATCCCTAGTGCTGGAGGTGGGACCTGATGGGAGGTGATTTGATCATGGGAGCAGAATTCTCATGAATGAGTTAGCACCATTCCCTCAGTGCTGTTCTCCTGATACAGAATGAATGAGTCATCATGAAATCTGGTTGTTTAAAACTGTGTGGCTCCTCCTCTGCCCCTCTCCTTCCCTCTCTGGCCATGTGACATGCCTTGCTTCTCCTTTGCCTTCCACCATGATTGAAAGCTTTCTGAGGCCTCCTCAGAACCGGCAGCCACTGTGCTTCCTGTGCAGCCTGCAGAATCGTGAGCCAATTAAACCTCTTTTCTTTATAAAATTACCCAGCCTCAGGTATTTCTTTATAGCAGTGAGAGAACTGACTAATCCACTCAGCATTACAATGTAGCCCAATGAGAAGCACAAGATAAGACAACTAATTCATGCTTGAGATGAGATGACACTTGAGCACTTAGAGATAAAGGAAGTTCCTAGACAAAGGAGACCTAAACACAGGGAACAGCACATGCAGAGACTCTGAGTCAAGAGGGGCACAGGACATTCTAGGAAAGGAAGCTGGACAATAAGGATAAAGTACAGAAAACCAAAGAGCAGCAAGATGTAAGATGAAACTGAAGTGCTAGGGAGGGCCCACATCTTTCATGATGTCAGCATAGCTAAGTATCCTAAGTGCAAATAAATGAGCAAATATTTTCAGCAGAAATTTAAAAATCATGCATTCTTTCAAAAAATCATACAAGAATTAACTTGGAATTGGGGTGGATAATATAGAGGAATAGGATTAGAAAAATTAGTTAGTAGACGGGTTCATTAGTCTGGGTAAGAGACGCTGGTATTAGGAAAACAAGAGAGCAGCAATAAAGACTCAGCTGAATTTTGGAAAATAAAGTTAAGAACATTTCTTAAAACTTCAAGCAAAACAGAAAATATAAGAAAAGTGGAGCATCAATCTAGAGTATCCTATATCCAAATAACAAATTTCAAAAAGAGAAAAAAAAAGGAAAACAGATAAAAAGTGGAATCGGAATACATTTTCTTTAGACCTCTTCAGGAATATTTGGAAACTCTATAATAACTTCATCTTTTGAAACTTCTCTCCAGCAATGGCCATTTAAAAATCTCTGTTTTGTGTGTCTAGCTTCTTCTCCTTATTCTTTAAGTCTCATCTTAAATACCATGGCCTCAGAAGGGTCTTCTCTGCCCACCTAGCTAAGAAAAAGTGAAGGTCATCTCAGAGTATCTCACCTGTTCCTTGCTGGCAATTTATCAGAATGAATGAGAAACTGTGCAATGTTTTTGTTTTTGTTTATTTGTTGTCTGTAAAGAAAGAGAAGGGCGGTGACTGGATTTTTGTTTTTTATTTATTTTGTTTTTGGCTCAGCATGTGTATCCTAAGCCTAGCACAGGACCTAACAATTAAAATTGTACTCAAAACATTTATTGATGGATTAAATAAATTGATTGGTTAAATGAACACACATATAGTTCCAAAAGAAATACTTTTGCTCCTAAAAGAAAAATTGCTCCTAAGTTAATTTAAGAAGCTTACAGATTTCCTCTAATAGGAAGAAAAAAACAAGTTATATAATCTTCCTTATTTCCTCACAAATATGCACTAAAATCATGTTGTTTTTCCTTGTATTGAGACAATGAGGTTTTGTGGGATTCAAATTGAGGTCAACCTGTTGTTTTGGTTTCTTAAGTTACAAAATCCTTTTCTTGGCACTCACCCTGAAAAATGCATTTGATTCATATTTTACTGCTTAATCAAGAAAAGCATGTGTCTCTGATTTAAAATAAAAAAGGAAAAACAAAAATAAGAAATGGTCAAAATTAGAAAAAGCCCCTTTGTTTAATAGCTCAAAGATGAGGAAAAGGCAGGAGTTTTGGCATTTCTCAAGCCACTATTGAATAGACATCTCCACACTGCCTAGCACATGGACCCTTCGGAGTTAGAAATCTGGCATTTTTTTTCTCTATATTTCTACCCAGATAAAAAGTCCTGTCTCAGTAAGAAGATGTGATTGTTCTAGGCTTTTATGAAACATGAAATACAAGCCTTTTGTGATCTATCTTGACTGGCAGTACCTCTGTTTGCAGTGTCAGAGAATGGATAAAATGGGATTTAGCTGCCTACCTTAAACTCCATGAGGTGACTCAGGACAGATACAGTCTGTCATTATTTCCTCTCCTCCTCCTTCTCCCTCAACCCCAGCCTTTTGTCAGATCCTCAAGGGCTACATGGATTATTTTACTTTGCTTATTTTTCTGGAACAAAACACCATAGGTCAAGTTCCAAATGGCCATTTGAAAGTCCTAGCGGTAACTAAAACCAGAACCCTCTGTCTGACTTTGGAATGTCACAAAAACACACACAAAAAATAGCTTTGTCAATTAATTTTTCTTCTTTCTATAGGGTAGAGGTGGTAAGCTAACTTATAGCATCAGTATGTGAAGTGCTTGTAATCTCAAAGCGAATGTAGAATTCTGATGCTACAGCTAAATTCATCATGGGCTGTGTTATATAAACACAAATGGAATTCCCTGCTTATTTGTAGGGCTTCAAAGGAGATGATCATAAGCTAAAGTGAAGAAGGCATTCTTAAAATAATTATTTAGGGTTTGTTAGTTACCTTACTGAGTGTAGCTGTGAAATTTTCCAAAATTAAAATGTATATATACTTTTCATTCTAAAAGTTATTTTTCAAACAAACATACCCTACAATACATTTTCAGTAATTTTAAGAAAAAAATAGACTTGAATCCTAGCACTGCTGGGCCTCTGTCTCTCTCTACCCTCCTACATCTGTCTTTGGGATCTATGTTGTTTCTCTCTGTAGCATCTGCAGATCACTTTATCTCAATCTTTTCATCTCTCCTCTATCTCTAGATTTTTATGTTGAGCATCTGGGCCTCCCAAGGCTCCATATTCCTTTCACTAAATATCACAATCATTTATTTATGAGTCTTACTGTGAAAAAGATGAAATAACAATAGAACACAGAATTTCTATTTGGGACAAACATCATTACTATAATTTTATGTAGGACTTACTATTAAAATTTTCCCTGTTTCAGGCAAAATATCCAAGCTGAAATAATACCATATGTGGCATAGTAAAATACCCTCGTAGGCTCACAGAAGGCAAGCATTTTGATTATTTGTTACAGTTTTATTACAATCTTTTAAGTATTCAGTCCTTAAGTATTTACAAATATAATGAAAACATTATTCTTGGACTTCAGAGCAACCACAAAAAACACTTTTCAAACGGTTTATTTGACATCTTCTTTTGGTTGCAAACTAGGGGAGAAGTGTCTTGAGGTTGCAAGTCTGGTTCAGTAGGAGAGAAGCCCTGAGTCAGGCCTAAGCCTTAGAATCCCCCGTGCAATCTTAGCCAGACTTCTGCCCAGCACCTGGCAAAGAGGAACTCGACACCCCTGGAAAGGTTGCTCAGTGAAGTCAGGAGAAACATGTTCTCTCATAGAAGACCCTAGTTATCTTGAAGGACTCTGCAGCACCTACTTCCTGGGCCCAGAAACCTCTACCTCTAACTGGGTAAGGAGGCCTTAGAACTGAGATGAGAGCCCTAACCCTTCTAACTCATTAGCACATTGCTTTGGGGGTAATTTAAAGGTGATAAGAAACCACTTTGAGGTTATCGATAGAGTTTACACAGTGGTGTACACCTACACTACTGTAGATGTACACACATTAGTTCAGGCAAAGATCATGAACAAGATAGTGACTAAGGTGGATACGCTAGGAGGATAGAGGACAGAGTGCATAGTCATGTCTGCACAGGCTCGGGACTTGGATGGGCATCTACCTGGCAACCACGTCACTGGTTCTTTCTAGCCATTGCTGCAGCCTCACCAGACTCTTGGGGACTGCTCTGACTTCTCTAAGCCAAGTTGCCAGACAATGCCTAATGACTCTTCTTTCCTGCTGGGCTAGGGCTTCAGTGGCTATGGCCAAAAAGAGGATGAGGAATAGCTGTCAATGCCAACTAGCATTTATATAGCACCTTGGAGTTTTCAACATGCTTTAATATATGTATTTGACTTATTCTTCATCATATCCTAGTAAGGAATGGTAGGCAAAAGGTAATATACCCATTTCAAAAATGAGGAAACTGAGTCACAATGTGACCAGTTGATTTATCGATATCCTAAAGATAATGAGATTTAAACCAAGTGATTCTCATTTAAAATTTTTTTATTTAAGGTTTATGTGCTTCCACATGAACATGCTATAAATAAGCAACTGTAAATTATATCACGACACAAAACATTTCTTGTATTAGGTATATTTGTTCTTTGGAACAATCAAAGTCTTCAGAGTTCAGCTGTGGATGAGCAAAGGCATAAAGATTTTTAGCTTCTCTGTTAGAAATATTTTTAGTTTTGTTTTTGACAAATGAATAAGTAGGTGTCCAAAGCTCAGTGTAATATGTGAACATATGAAAGAAGTTATAGATAGAAGCAGATGATAATTAAATGCTAAAATTACAATTAAATCCTGAAATCAAAAGATGAAGGTGCATAAGCCAAGTTCTAGGCAAGGAAGTTCATATTTGTTATTATAGTTTGTTGTCATTAGAAAAATGAACTTTAATTAGAAAATAAGGCAAGTTACATGCCCAAGTCAAACAATGGATGTTTAGCTTTTTACTTACTAGAATGAAATATATCCAAAGTAAAGGCTATTGTACTTGAGAGCAGTAAGCAAAAATAT